TTGTTTGAGTTGCAACTTACACTAGTAGCTAATAAAAAGTTTGTGATCTGTATATACTATATATTTCCGTGTAATCTTTTCATAATTAAATTTTATCACTTGGTATTTAAGTACTTCATGGGACACAGAAATAAGTAGAGCATATATATTAAGCATAATGCAAAGCTGCAAAAGCTCATATATTGATGAGAAGGTTAAATTTGCTGTATGTAAAATAAAAGTTTAAAATTGATTATAAGCAAAGATCAATGAATCCTCATAGGAAAATAGAAGCTTTTATAAAAAAAAAACTGAATTGGATTCCAAAAACTATTTCAGTACCAAGTAAAACCAAAAACCCAGGACGACCACTGAAACCTTTTGCACAGTCCAGCGATAGAAGCAAATGACGAAAAGCTGAATAATTACGCAATAATGATGCAAAAGAACTAACTACAGCTACCCAAATGAAATTGTACCAAGTTAAAATGCGAGATGCTTCCCAAGTTTTCAAAGAAATTACCAATTGACCAAATCGTGCTCATAAATGTAAACAAGCTTACAACTAAAGTCAAAAAAAACCATGTTGACGTTAGAGGATCTTTCAATGTTAATTAAAACAAACTTGGCAATATGAAATATTAAGACAAAGTAATAAAAAGCACAAGACTATTGGAATACCTTGAAGAAATGATTAAATCATTAGAACAGAATGATTTAAAAAACTTATCACTCGATTGTAAGTGGGGTTCTGATGGATCACAGCAATCCCAATACAAGCAAAAATTTGACAATGAGTTTGATTTGGACACGAGTATTTTTCTAAGTTTGTTGATACCATTGCAACTAATATTATCAAATACTCAGTGAGGGATATGGCACAACCCAATTCCTTCATCACGCTATTGCTGCCCTAACCAGTTCCGTCCGGTTTACTATTGATAGGCATACGAATATGTTTTGCCAAAGAGTCACATTAAGAAACTAAAATACTTTTTATTATTTTAATAATATTTATAATCATATTTTTAATATTATAATAAATAATATTTGTTTGTTTTAATATCCTACTCGAATTCTGAATTGAGACGAGAATTTTCAATATTTTATCAAACACAATGTATTTTTTTAGACATGATTGATTATTTTGTTATTTGTTATTTTGATATTTTTGTTTTAGCAACATTTTGAGTTAAAAACACACAAAAATATTATGGCCGCCTAAATTGGTCAAATACCCCTGTGTGTGCCGGTTTGAAACTTTTATCAAATTCAATTTCACATTACGCTTCATTTGTATCACCCTACATAATTTCCTTTAAACAATATTCCTCTTAAATATAACTAAATCATGTAAATGTTTAAAGAAAGTATTAAATGTAACCCCAATTTTTATAAGATTTATTCCTTGCAGAGAAGAGGTTTCTTTTGCATGTTATAAATATAAAAGAAAATAAGAATTTTTCATTTCTCCTAATTGAAATGGTTTTCAAGACCATAGATAGACTTTATTTTTTGTCAAAGAAACACAATTATGCAACAATCGTCTTCATAATAGCTACAACTGAAAGTTCTCTGTCAAAGGCTATTTCAAAATTAGGAAGTTTCAGACAAAAAAATTGCGATTTTTTGCTCAAAATACTTTTACTTTAATTATTTCTTGATTATTTTGAAATACTTCTAATCTTTATAAATAATTCACACATAAAGTATGGAATTAAAATTTCTTTTTGTATACTGCACTTAACTTTTTTTGTTTGACTGCACTTAACAAACAAGATTCCATTTTATAATCATCTACAATTATTAATTAATTATTAATATAGTGAGCACATGACTATGGAAATGCATTAACAAACATTAAATAATAATAATCCAATAAAACTTGAACACAACTTTTCACATTAATGACCACAAAACTAATAGAAATTATTTAGTTTGGAATTTATAGCATGGCACTAAAAATTGTTTAACATCCAAAAATGGAAAATGGAAAATGTAAGTCCCAGCGCAGTAAATTACAATAAAATAAATTCTACATAAAACCATTTGAGAATCATTGAAGTTCTTCCACTAAAATTTTTTATTAAAATTACTGACATTAAACATGAAGTATTCTGAAATTATATTCAAAAGAGCAATTTAGCTGAAACGGTTCATAATGCAAAACCCTAATAAGCACTACTGTCCTTTGTCCCATGTCTTCTGGCATATTTATATGTATGTTTATGCGGTCCAACATTTGCAAATTACTTGCAAAAAGCTGTAAAAATATTTAAGCATAATGATACCAACATAAAAATTTATTTAATGTCTTCACTTGATAACCGCACTAGGACAAGTTAAAATGTGCGCTCATCATTAATTTTGTTGCGAACCGTTTTCATAAATACAAAACACCTTTGCTTATTAATCTTCGCTGAAATGTTAATGGCCGCAGACATTTGCTAGTCGTAAAGAAAAAATTGCCAACTCCAGAGCAGTTCAGTTAAAGTGGAAGTTATAAGACAGGTACACCATGCGCCAGAGTCGTATATAAATTTTTTATTCCATCCTAACTATCTGAAAGCCTTCATTGAGCGAGTATGAGTCTACGCGGCATAACAATGGATTATACTTTCATATATTATTATTATTATTTATTAATTTATTTCTCCTTAATGGGTATAAAAATACATTTCGGAAGCCGTAGCTTAAAACAAAACATATTGTATATATTGTTATTATTATTATTATTATTATTATTATTATTATTATTATTATTATTATTATTATTATTATTATTTGAATTTTGCATCTCAGCGGGTGTTATTGCTGGGATTCACATAATTCCGGATGACAAGCATCAAGGAATTTATGCTCTGTTGAAGTGTAGTCCATATTCTACACCTATTAAATTGTGTTGCTCCTTCTAAAGAATGTTGATCGTTTCCCTCACCATTGCACATGTATGCAACAGAACGTATTTCTGCATAGTATTTATTAGAAGTTTAGAGAGTTCAAGTATGCCCATAGAGTGTGTGAGGGTTTTGGGTACTATACCAGTGGCTGATAGTATTATTGGTACAACAACCACTCGCTGAAGTCTCCAAATTTCTTTGATTTCTCTAGCCAGCGGTATGTAGTTGCTCATCTTTTCTGCATACTTCTGTCCAATGTTGCCATTATGCGGAATAGCAACATCAATCAGGTATGCTGAATCATCCCTTCTATCAACCAGTAGGATATCAGGCTTATTATGTGTTATTAGTCGATCTTAGTCGACCAGTACATACGAAAATTGGTGTTTTCTAGCACCGCAGTGGGTTTATATTGGTAAATTGAACAAGTTTTAGAGACCAATCTATGCTTGAATGCAAGAGTGGATTACCTTACATACTGCATTGTACCTGTTTAGATATTCCCTTGGTGGCATTACAGAGCAACCGGATATATTGTGATCCAATGTTTTTGGGACACAAGCCATCCTCAACTCGTTATTTAAGAATATGTTTGCGATAATAACGAGTAGGGACCACGCCATCCTGTATCGCGCACTCAAACCTTCAGTTTCACCATATAGATCCCATATACAAAGCCATTTGTTGGACAAATGTAAATCAGTAAATGGCTGACAAAGGTAATTCATATGTTTTCCGTGAAGAGCCTTAGATTTCCATTCATCAATTTTTTGCTGGTCAGGCACCACCAAATCTAAAGGAGAGAATACTCTGTTCTTCAGATCAAATCTATTGTCTGTACCGCAGATAGCCTTATGCAAAGAAGAACTAAGCTCTGTGCCAATAAAATAAGTGCGTTGTGAATCGACTTGTTCGTAATATAGTCTTGTTATATCGAGCACTCCTCTACCACCAATACTTCTCGGTAGACATATCCTTTCCACAGCAGATTTTGTATGACACATGCGAAAGTCGCAAATTAAAGTTCTGATTTTGCGTTGGATTGCTTCCAAGTCCGTGTCCGACCACCTTAATATACCAAAAGAGTACAGCAGTAATGATATGTAATATATATTAATTGCACATACTTTATATTTTTCGGACAGTAAAGATTTTAATATGTTACCAATTTCACTCTATAGATAAATTCATTCATTAAATTATTTTTTAAATTGCTGTTTTTTACGTGTGCACCTTGCAATATACCTAAGTACTTATAAAAATCTTATTCAGGCTTGAATATGCAAATTCTCAAAGCTATGTCCTTCATGCGACTCATAAACACCTCTTTGGATGACTCAGATTCGACATTTCTCCAACCCAAATTCCATCCGAATATCTTTACTAAACATATCCGTAAGCCGTAATAAACTCTTATGTTCATCAGTTCCAGCGTACAATTTAATGTCATCAAGATACATTAAATGACTCAACTCACTCTTCCTGTTCAGCACTCCATATTTGATGGCAAAGCCATGTCCTTTAGCATTTGTTAATAACCATGAGAGAGGGTTTAGTGCCATACAAAACCAAAGAGGACTCAGCGAGTCTCCTTGAAAAATACCTCTTCTTATTTGTATGACGTCTGATAATTTAACGCCATCAGCCGTAGGTACCGATAATATTATTATCGGTTATATTAACTCAGGATCTATGCGGTATAGGCGTAAGACATTGATCAGGCAAGAATGTGGGACACTATCGAATGCCTTAGCATAATCAATAAAGCAACTAAATGGGTTTCTTTTTGCTTTTACTGCCTGTCCTACTGCTATCGTGTCGATTGTCAGTTGTTTTTTGCATCTCTTTGAGCCACTACGACAGCCTTTTTGTTCTTCGGTCAATATATCATTAACCTATAAGTGCGCATATATCCTTTTACTAATCACCGGCGTAATGAATTTATAAAGCATCGGCAAGCAAGTGATAGGCCTTGTTTCCGCTGGACAGTCAACTCTTTCCTTTTTTGAAATAAGATATGTTACATCAGCGGTGAGAAAAGATGGGAAACTCTCCGGCCTTTTTATTGAATTTGTTATAAGCCTTGCAAGTTGGTTATGGACACAGCGAAACTGTTTGTACCAGAAATTCTGCACTTTATCCAAGTCTGGCGGTTTCCAATTACTGGATCTTACAATGGTTTCCCGTACTTCATCGTCAGTTACTTCCATAAGTCGCATTGTGGCAATATTGGCATAACGATTATGTTCGGCATCTATCCACTCTGCATGCAGAGCAAGAGGTTTGGAGAATTCCCACGGCGCACTCCAATAGTTCTTTACTTCTGTAACTGAGAAAGATGCATGTTGTCTAGTGCTGTCAGTTGAACCAAGTGTAGAGAAGAATTGACGTTGATTTTTTATATACATAGAGTTCTGAATACGTCTGGCATGTGACTCTCCATATCTCCGTAAGCGTTTACAAACAACGGAGTGTTTTTGCTTTAAAATATCCATAAACTCTACAACTGGTGTGCCTCTATGAATATAAAACTGCCTGTATATTTTTACTGCACATTTCTTTAATCTACTATTTGATCGACTAATATTATATGCTGTTAGTTGACCAATGTGTTTACGTAGCAAATCTCGACGACGGTCAAAACGAGCCATCCATGGCCGAATACGTTTTTGTCCCGCATCAATAGCAGACGTTTGGATCTTTTGACCATGCAACCTTATTGCTGTTACTGCACCACAATACACAAGAGATTGTAAGTGTAGAAGTGTAGTATCAGCATTTAGTCGAGATAAGATTTCGCTATTTATCTGGGATAGAATATTTTGCGTTGCATTGGTTGTATGGAGCCTAGAAATTTTAGGCCGATGCAACGGATCATTTTCAAAGTATTCCAAATATGCTGTACGAAACTCGTCTTGGATATTACTCGAAATATCAGCCGGGCGATGACGCAGTGTGCTAAAGCGGGTATGGTACTGAATATTCACAGAACTAGAGCGGCGTATAGGCATTGAATCCGTACTATCAACCACTGACTCTTCGTTACGAGCTGTTCGGAAGCTGGAATCTTGTTGCTTCGCACAATGAAACGGTATTGATCTGAGACTCTTTGAACAGTGACATACGAATATAGGGGAAACAGTTCAACAAATTTTTGACAGTATGATCTTAAGCTCGTCAAAGTAATTGCATAGTAAGCACTGATAATGAAGCTACTCATTTCATTTGTCCATTTCATCCGCGGTCTACTAGCACCTGATGAAACCGTCAGCCATATTCACCGAGTAACACAAGATCATATGTACCTTAAAAGACTTTCTAGCAATTTTTCTCATACTGTAAATCATGATTCAGGAGCTCATATTAACCAAAAGCAATTAATTTAAAGGTAATGGAAGAAAAATGGAAATAATTGTGTTTTGGAAAAATTAATAATTGTTACGCTTTGATTATATCCCCTAAATATACTGTCCGAAATTAAACTTATTTTATTTATATTTGTGTCTGTGTGATATCACAACGGGTCATTATTTGTATTAAAGTTAGCTATGGTGCACAAAGTTACTATGCCAGTTATATCGCTAGTGAACGATATAATCAGCAAACACAAAACATCAGAAGTATAGATCGTTTGTTCCTAAACAAACAATCTCGAGCAACACATTATATTTTAATAGAATATTATATCGTGCAAATATTCTATACTACTAAACATTTTAAATTATGTATTGTATTAAACAGGAAATGAAAAATACCTAAACATTGTAACAAAAATTATCTATTAAACAGGAAATTGAAAGCAACTAAACATTGTAACATTTTTCAGTACCTAATTATAACAATAAAACATATTTATAAAAACAATAGGAGGAAAATCCCTAGTGTTGGGACTTCCGTCCTTTTCTTTAACCTTTTTTTTTCAAACAATAGTAAATGTAATTAAAATTAATACAGTTTATTAAAATAAGTAACACATTTCAACCTTGAGAATAAAATTAGTCTCAAGATAATTTTGTATAAATACAGAATACTGTTGTAAAAAAACTAGTCTTAAGATTCATTCAATAAAGTACGCATCAAACTTAAGTTTCATGTGTTTTTAATCAAATATAATTCGCCAACCTAACTGGAATCTATTCCCACTTGTACTTATGTATAAGTCAAGTTATATTCTTAATTTTTTTTTATTGCTGTATCAGAAATGTGTTATTTACATACATACAAGTGACACATGTATCTTAATGTGAACAATTAAAAGCACTGAAATAAAAATTATCATATTGCATAATGAAAACTTATTATAAAATGTATTTACTTAATTTTAATTTTAAAAATGCAAATTTTTATGGTTTTAACTGAGCACGTTTACGTTTTGACATTTTCTTTTCTTTTTGTTTGTTTTTCTTTTAAATAACAACAAAAACAAAAAATCACATTTTCTCTAATCACAAAATTTCGGAAAAACAATTTTTCATTGTGCAAATTGATCTAATTTATGCAACGCTGAAGCAGCAGACAGCAGGCATAAAGTGATGAACATTCGCGTCGAAATTTCCAAAAAAATAACACTTGGTTTGCTTGCTGTTTTCGAACTGAAATCTTTATTAATTTTTACTTACAAGGTAACTTAAATCTTAACTTAAAATAAGCATAATTGACAATTAATTAATTTAATAAATAAAGTAGGTTTGGAGGATTCCCACGGCGCGCTCCAATAGTTCCAATAGTAACAAGTAAGCAATTTGTCAAAACTATTGATTGCAATTATATTTTGTTAATAACAATTTCTTTATGAATTTAAATATTGCTGATTGTAATTTCCTTATAAATTTAAATATTGTCAACCTAGCATTTCTTATATGCTTTGCCTATTGCGTTGGTTACTGCTGTGCTAACTTACATGTTTCGCATGAAAATAATTTGCTTCATAAACGAAACAGAAGTAATGATAACAGAAAAAATGTACTATTTTGCAATGCGAATTGGCAACACTCACAGCTACATACGAAAACCAGAATCGCTTACTCACCCGTCAAAATATTCCAATGTTAAGATTTAATCTGTTATTGCCTGCCGCCTTTTTGCTGCTGATCTGTTGATTCCACACTCACACTGTTATTGCTTCATATATTGGCGTTGGCATCACTGCCATTGCTCCCTTTTCACATGTCACATTTATTGAAAATGCACGACCCAAAATATTTTTTTGTTCAATTTTCAATTTAAGCGATTTATGGGATTGATTTCATTTTCTTGACAAATTTTGTATACAATTTCAATTGGAGTGAGATTTCAATCGAAATGAAATATTTTTAAATAACATACTTTAAAACAAGTAAATAAATAAATATATTTCAAAAATTAAGAGGTTTTTTAGAACAGTAGTGAAATACAGCAACAAAAAATTTTTATTTTTTATATTATTTTAATTAATTGAATTTTTGGCTGACCATATAGTTGTTTCAAGTATTGCCAAATACCCATCATCAGTGGTCTGGGAAATAATTCTTGTATTTAATTATTCGTAAATAATTATTTTTGAGACTGCAAGTACCAGGAATCGAACTCGTACTTGACTTTTTTTGTTTGCATATTTTTCTGGAGTTTTGTTACTATTAATATGAAAGTTTTTATTAACAATTTTACTTGCTGTATATATTACTTGCTTGTATTAGAACGAATTCATAAACCAGCTGTAGAATAATTGAATGAATTAATTAATTATAATTTTATTTTCAATTGTTAAATTTCAATTCTATTTCACTACTGTTCGAAAAAACCTCTTTATGAAATATAACAAGTTTGCTATTAAAAATAATAGTCACTTTCGTCTGGAAAATTTGACGTTAAATCACAATTTAAAAAATTAATTAAAAAATTAATTTCATATTCGTATTTCAGATTAGGTACACAATGAAATACTTAGAATATAATATAATAGTAGCTGGTCAAAAATAAGACACCAAAAAAAAATAAATAATTAGTCATATATAAGAGAATATAAACAGGTACAGTCAAAAAAAAAAACGAACACGATGAGTGAAAAAATCGTCATAAATTCGATGAATTATTTCTCCAATGACGAGTTTCATAAAATTTGAGAAAACTTTTTCATAAAGTTTCACGATATGCATACGTGTGAAATAGTTTCATAAAATTATTGAAAAAGGTTTATAAAATTATTGAAATTGTTTCGCAAAATTCTTTGAAAGCGAACATACGTGAAAAAGTTTCATAGATTAAGTAATATTCATAACAAATCTTCAGAAAAAATATCGAGAGAAATTTATTTGTACATTAATTAATACTAAAATTAATTCAATAATTTAGCTTTTAGAATGCTGAATTACAGCTTTTAGAATGGTGTAGTGAAGACACCAAAGAGTTGTGAAAATGGACGTGTCTCCTAAAAATAGAAGAAATAAGATTCATTTTCAAACGCAACTGTTATTATTATTTATTTTACTTACCTTTAGCAACAACATCGTCGGTTGGCTCTTTTAGAAGCACACTACGGTTGGAATCATTCAAAATATTTGGCTTGTATTTTCGGCTCAAAGACATCAAGAATATTGTTAGCAGATGTATATCAAATATTTATAATGTATATCAATCTGTAAAAAGAAATATTACAAGACAGAAATATTTATTTGTACTCCTTTTATATTACTAGTCTGTATCCCGTTGGCTTCTTATACTCAGGCCAAAGCTTAAAAATATCTGATAAACTACGAAGTTTAATGCGCAAGTATGCAGAAATAACGAGTTTGTCAATCCGCGTATGCAAGCAGAGCTATGATATGCAATAAATGCAAATCATTAGAAAACAAAACGGCATAAAAATCGGTAATAAAAATATATACATACATTATGACCGAAAAGTTTCCGGAAATTTTAAATAAAACGCAAAATTCTTAATCTTCATCAATATTTATTTTATCTCCTTCAAAATATGCTCCATTAGAAGCGATACACAAATGCCAACGTTTCTTCCAATCATCAAAACATTTTTTATAGGCGCTTTCCGGTATGGCTTTGAGTTTCCTCTGCGAATTCTGTTTTACGTCTTCTATGGATTCAAAACGCGTTCCTCTGAGTGGTAATTTGAGTTTGGGAAACAGGAAAAAGTCACACGGTGCAAGATCAGGTGAATACGGGGGCTGTTCGATGGTATTTATTGAATGTTTGGCCTTAAAATCGTTGATAATGTTGGCTCGCGTGCGAGGGAGCATTATCGTCATGAAAAATCCATGAATTATCCTTCCACAATTGAGGCCGTTTACGGCGGATATTTTCACGCAAACGTCTTAAAACAGTCAAATAATAGGCTTTATTGACTGTTTGTCCTTCAGGGACGAATTCATGATGCACCACACCACGAATATCGAAGAAAACAATCAGCATTGCCTTGATTTTCGAGCGACTTTGGCGTGGTTTTTTCGGTTTCGGCTCGTCTTTTCCTCTCCATTCCGATGATTGTTGGCTTGTTTGCATGTCGTACTCGTAGACCCATGTCTCGTCACCCGTTATGATGCGTTCCATGAAAGTTGGATCGGAATTGGCACGATCAAGCATGTCTAACGAGACCTGTCCACGATGGTGTTTTTGGAACAAATTGAGGTGAATCGGAAAAAGCCGAGCGTTGACACGTCGCATACACAAATTGTCCACCAAAATCAAACGAGCCATCTCACGACCGATGCCTAGCTCTCGTGCTATCTCTCTAACACTCACATGAGGATTTTTGAACACGATTTCCTTTGCCTTTTCAATGTTTTCGTCGGTGGTAGAGGTCGAAGGTCGTCCAGAACGCGGCATGTCTTCGACGGTCGTACGACAGTCCTGAAAGGCTTTGTACCACTCATAAACTTGAGTTTTCGATAAAACTGATTCCCCATAAGCCTTTTGTAGCATTCGCAACGATTCTGCACACGAAAATTCGTTCGAAACACAAAATTTGATGCAAACTCTTTGATCAATATTTTTTTCCATTGTTTGTCTTTTTCGCAACGCAATACTTGAGGGTGAACTGAGTTTCACAGGGCTGCCGTAAACGAACTGTCTGACAGATCGC